GTATGTTTTACTCTTAAAAAATGTATAACTAATGAATGCCGATACAAAAGGCTGTATAATTACTTAAAAAAAAAAAAACTTCCCCTCCCAAATACCATGCCTCCCCCGTTTCAATGGCAGCCGAAAGCAAGTAGCGAAGCAGAGACTGACATCAGGACTAGCTGGTTGAACAACACAGTAGACATAATAATAACTGTGTTGTTCAGAATAGTGATGTTAAACCTGTACTGTTTGATTAATAGAACTAAATAGAACTGATAATAGAACTATCAACTAAAGCCAAATTAGGATATTGCATAATTAACACAATGGAAAAAATAATAACTGGTGTTCAGGAAAGTGATGTTAAACCCGTGCTGCTTAATTAGTAGAACTAGTAGTAGAACTATCAACTAAAGCAAATATTGACTAGAATATTGTATAATTAAAATGAACATTCATTGATATTGGTAAATTCATATTTTCATATACATTTTGTCCAAGCCCTATTCCTTATGCCAGAATTTTTATATTATCCGCTTTGGAAATGCCAATCTTCTATGCAGCATAAGTCACTTTGGACAGCAAGATGGGAGATATATAAATAAAATAAATTAAAATTAATTTAATTTAATTAAAATAAAATAATTAACTATATAAGGATTTTAAAATGCTTTCCCCAAACATTACTCTAAAAATTGAGAGTTCAAAATAAAGGATTGATGAACTGGAGGCAGTAATTTCTTTTTAGCTTTTCTGACCAGTAGGTGTCATTATAAGCAAAGTAATGTTAAGATGTTATCTGAAACCATTAAAATGATTTTTACAGGATAAAAGAGCTACAGCTTTCAAATAAGTAAACATGAATGATTGAAATGTGGCAAATAACTAAATATGTCCATTGTGCCAGAATAAAAGGGAAAACACTACTTTAAAACTAGAAGTTCTGGAGTCTTTCGATGATTGGCTCCATCACACTCTGAATTCACCCACGCTGAACATTAACATCTGAACCACTATAAATCCATGTATTTGCCATACGCTAAATAAATAAGTAAGAAGCTCTGGAAAAGACTAAACTCCCTCAGTTGTGAGTTGGGAAAGAGGTGAAACTGGAAGAATGAATCAATCCTTTTGTTAGCCTCTAATCAAGAAAGTGCCATTCTTCAGGGAGTCAGAACAAAAACAATTGAGGCAAGATACAAACCAGCAGGGACATCTGCTGGGAAGGGTGTCAGTCAGTGGTGGGTTCCAACTGGTTTGGCGAAACCGGTAGTGGTTTGGCAGCGCGGGTCGCTGGAACTGGCAGTGACCCAGGCATGCCACACCCCCGAACTTGTTCGCCAGTCGACGCCAATGGCACCATCTAGTTTTTCAGTTCTGCACATGCACAGAACAATTTTAATTGCACTGTGCATGTGCACACATCAAGCGCACATGCCCGAAACACATGAACGAACCGGCAGTAGTGCCGGCTGGAACCCACCCCTGGGGTCAGTGATATCTACTACAACATATGGCAAGTCTAACTTTCGCCAGTTCAAGGATGGGTGTCTAGCATTGGGAATAGTTTATTGTAGAGTTGGGTTTTATTGCACAATGATTATTTAGCCTGAGCACTCATTAGATAGTTCCCCTCAATAGAAATCCGGATCTGAATTATTACATGATTGATTACATCAACCCAAATACATTAATCTCTTAGGATTTGGTTAAGTAATGAAAACATGATTTGGCTTTGGATAGCTGTGATCTAAGAAACATAACTACTGAAACAAATAGATTTGATCAATAATTTGTCCAACAGTTTTATGGCTGGAAATTATGAACAACTGAGTATATCAATAGTGAATATCAATGATGAGAACATTTCACAAAAAATACCTTAAATTGGCTCAGAGTCTAAAACAGTGATTGAAAATAGCCAGTTTCATCTTTTATTACGAAGTTTATTCAGGTTGGGAAAGCACCACTGTCAATTTGACTGTGCAGACTGCAAGATGAAATGATACTTTGAACATATACTGGACTGATTCTGTTCTCCAAAATTTCCTGGAAATTTTCTTCCTACAGGAAAGATGCTTCAAAAAATGATATAGGAAAGATGTCCAAAAAATGATATAGGAAAATATCATTCTCACAGAGCATTTCACTAGTCTTTCTGATGGTATTTTTGAGCTTTAGCATTTGTTGTGGATGCTATAGCTTTTCCTTCTCTACCCCAATTCCTTTCCATTCTGGATACGTGTCAGCGGACAGCTTTATGAAGTGAAAAAGCCCATAGGAAAAAATTTCTACGATTTAATTGAAGCGCAGGAATCCAGTCAGGCCTTAGACCAATGGAATATGATTATACAACTTAAAAAGAACTTTGTTCATTAGCCACTTCGTAACGCAAGATGTCCAAAAACTGCCTACCAACATTTTTTTCTCCTT